AACTTCTCTCCTGCTCCTACTTCTCTGGGCTTTCTTCCACACTTGGCAAAACACTATGTTCTCACAGGCTTTTCAAGTATCTTTCTAGCCAGGACATTGCTACCTTATTTTTGTTTCTCCAGTAACAGCAACTTCCAGGCTTTTGATGCATCGTTGTTCCTCCCCAGGACTAAGCATCATGAGAGGGGAAATCAAAAGAAATCTAGATCTAGATCTAGAGGACCAACAACAGCCTTCAAACCTCTGTTTTCTTCCTTCAGCAGAAAAAGGAAGGAGGAACAAACAAATCCAGGCCCTCTTGGTGACAGAGCTGCAGAACTATTGTGCCTCAAAGGAAAACTTGCTCCAGAGCAGTACTGATCAGCAGCATCCTGTACAAGGTATTAATGGGAAAAGTTAACTGTGTTCATCTATGGATTCAGGAATATTTTCTGAAAGGAGAAGGAAGAGCTTACAAGCTGAGCCACATAGATTATTTTGTCTTCACACCTTTTAAGGAGGCAAAATGAAGATCACAAATGCACAATCCCCACTGTATAATGGTATGACTACAACAATAAACAGTTTAACTGCAAATTGGTTTCTAGTTATCTATGGAACTGGATGAAAGTCTCATTGAACAATGACATAAAAAACTATAAGCTGAAAAAGACTACAACAGAATATTCTCACACATATATAAACTCTAAAATACAAAGTTACAGAATACGTACTAATAAAGACTATACCACATGGATGGTTAACCTTTCTGAGGATGAGCTGCAGTGATTATTTTCAGTCTGGCAAGGGAACGTTCTTCGCCTCTTTTCTCTCTCTCCCCCATCGCTTTCTATTGTCATGGCAAATTTCTAAATTTGCTTGCATTCTGCAGCTAGGTAACACCAGATTTTTAAACTCTTTCTCTCTGAGTATATATAATCCTGGTCACCAGGCAAAATTTCATGTTAAGTTATGTTAAACTTATGAGATTCAAGCATCTGAAATTCTGGAAGCGTGGAGGCAAAACCAGTCCCCACTTGATAAAAAGCAGCATCATTATCCAGATGACACTCTGGTCTCAGTCGGGTCAGGAGATTTCACCACAGCCACTACTTTATTTCCTCATACATATTTGAAAATCCCTCTTTACTGTTAGCATTAGGCAGGTAAATACATTGACATTAATGAATGAGACACCACCCTGCATGATCTACATTTAGTCTATTATATACTGTAATAGCTATTTTCCAAATAGTTCAGTATTAGATTTGGCAAGGAGAGGAGACGAGCAGCACCAAGCCAGACTTTCAGGACTCTATATAAAGAGAGCAGCACAACAGAAGATGCAGGGATCGACCCTTTGGGGATCCTGTGCAGACAATCATATATAAACTGATGTTGTCTCCACAGTAATGAAAACGAGACAGGGAAGGTACCAGTCTTCAGGCTACATGTGGTGACTGATAAATCAGATGTTGTGGAGTCTGGTTTACTGCAGGAAGGTGAATATAATGAAAACCTGTGCCTGGCGGGAGGTTCTGCAGCTCACAAACAGAGCATGGGAAAAATACACCTCTGCAGAACCCCCAAGAAAAGCCACTATCCAGCCTTGGCAAATAAACTCAAAAGAGAAAATTGATGTATTTTGATGAAAATGATGGAGGAAAATAAGTAAGGTTACCTTTGGATCTTAGCATTTTTGGAAAGAATTTCTTCTGAATCTTGAATTTATAATTTACACTTTAGGGACAAGGTAAAAAATTAAAAACAAAGCAATGGCAAAACTCCAGCTATTTGTGCCCAAATTCATTTAAAGAATTTAACCAGTTTGTTCTTCATGTTCTGTTTTGCAAATTGAGTTTAATTACTTTCAGAATCAAGACATGGTTTTGTCTAAATATCATAACCTGTTACTTGCTTTGTCTATTTTGAAAAAAAAAATTAAATTATGAAAATGAAACAGTATTGTACATACTTAATAGAGGTTATCAGATCAGGATCATGAAAATAGTTCATATACTCAGCTTGAAAGCCCTCCCTTCATCATTCCCCTTCTCAAAAAGCAAGTTATTCTTCCCTTTGTCTCCTGCCTCACAGAAAAGAAACAAAAACTTCAAAGAAGCAAAAGTTCAAATTATTTGTTCACAGTGTAAAAAAAAAACATAAAAAAAGAAGCTTTCCAATAAATGCATGCAAGATAACATTGTAAAGAAACATTATCTCAGCGAAAGAATATGCTGAAAGTCAACAGCACATGTTTCAGCAACTGAAAAATTTAATCAGCACAAGTGGTGCATGTAATTCTTTCAGTTACTTCTTGGCAGTAAAACTGAGTTTTGATTATGGATCATGTCCAATGACTTTATATGATACGCAGATTCAAGAGCTACAAAAATGCCATTAAAAGGACAATAAAAGACCTGAGTGAAACTTTCCTTTTGTCAGATAAAGTTCTCTGAAACAGGTGATTTTATTTTGCAAAATAATGTGACTTTTCCCTGATGTCCCCTGTGAGGATGTCGGGACTGCAGTCACACCTGAACTTTCAGCTGCCCATCCTATTCACATCTGCCTGGAAAAGAGGGAATGTCCTGCTCTGTCCAGCTGTGATTAGGGCACTTCTGTGAGGGAGGCAGAGAGAGAAACTGAACTCATGTCTCCCACATCATTCTTGGGGCTTCCAGAAGTTCTTTTACTTTGTTTTCATAAAAAATGCAGAAAACAGAACTTGGAAGTTTAATTTCAGGTTAAAGGCAATATTTGCTTAAGCAGAGAAAAACATTTTTTTTTAACAGTATGAGCAAATAAGAGAAACTTTCACTTTCTATTCAAGCTACAATTTTCTTTCTTTTCTGGGAAGCTGGAGAGATAAAGATTAACTTGCTTTCTGGGAAGTGGGATGGTGAAGGGAGGGCTGTCCAGCCAGGTAAATTCACTATTTTCACCACCCTGATCTGATCATCTCTACTGAAGGAGCTACTGGGGCATGAAAGGTGATGCCTTTGATGAACTTTTTCATACTCTTTGACTCAACTCTGCAGGACCCCAGCCCTGAGGTGGAGAATGCCTGCAGCTTCCCAGCCAGCTGCATACACACTGCTGGGTGTATGGACAGCTGTGGGGCACACGTACGGTGGGGACAAACCTCCCCTGTTGTCACACACTTGAGACACACTGAATCCATGGGCCTCAGCAGAGGCGATTGTCCACACAATGTCAGGGCTGGGTTTGGGCTCCAGCTCAGGTCCAGACCTCATATACAGGATAGATGTACGTGCAGGATCTTCAAAATCTCCTGTAACTTATGTTTGGATCTCACATCTTACCAATTGAGAGGATAATTCCACTATATGTTGACCTGGCCAGAAAAGTTGATTTAAAACATTTCTACCCTCTGTTGCTTGTTCCTACCCCCATGCCATAGTTTGCTGCCCCCTCAGATGTGTGTGTGTTGGGGGGGGGGGGGGG